GTTCTAATAATTCCAGCTATACCTGCTACACATCTACTACATTTACTGTAACATAAGGATTAATCAATACTATAACTATACCAAAAAATGCTGTTTTACAATATAATATAGCTGAGCAAATCAATTTAGCTACAAAGAATATATCTGATTATCAACAAGCATTAGAAACTACTACAAATAGTTCATTAAAAGATTTATTAATATCACAAATTACTGAACAGCAAAAAATTGTATCAAAACAAAATGCGTGATTAAGAAAATTGAAGCGTCATACTGAAGCATAAGCAAAACTTGCAACAAAGAAAAAAAATTACTAGAAGAAAGAATTGTAGAAAAATATGACATCCTAGAAAGATCACCTGTAGCAATGAAGAATCTGAATTTATGGGATAAGATCCATGATTGCATCAAGTTTAGAGCTGCTTATGCTAAAAAAAGAAAGAAATTATTAAAGTTCGTATAGTGAAGTACTTACATGAATCATTTGAAGAAAAATATAATCTATACTTATTTCACTAATGTTTATCAATTTATATTCAATCCTATCATCTAAGTACTTTTGTTACGCATCATCATCATTATTTAGTAAAAGTTAGTCTTACTTCTGTAACACAAACAGAAATGAAATCTTATGTAGATGAACACTATTGCTTAGCTTCCATTAAAGCTGCAAGAGTATTTGCTAAGGTTTTTGCTGATGAAGTGATTATTATCTCCTAGGATGATAAAGCAAAAGTCAGATTAGGCATTCCTGCAGTTGATCACACATTTAAAACCATTCAAACTATTAATAAACTAGTTACTATTAAAGATCACGATTTTCCAGTTGATTCAAAAATGAAACTCATACCTTCTGTTTATCTGATCATTAATCTAGCTGATTTGAGTAACATCTTGTGAACCAGTCAACTTTTCATATTTATTAGGTTAGAGTACTTTATTGGAACATCTTTAACAACCTATATTGTAGACTTAGAAAGCATTGTTTCAAGTGAAGAGTTTTCCACTACCCTAAAAAAAAGAAGGAAAAGTTAGATCTATTTGGATCCTTCTTATTGATAGTGGACCTGATGAAAATTCAAAGTATATGAAAAATATTATTCAATATACTCATCTTTTTCATGCTCTTGACCTGAATTATTTGACTGTTCGCATTTATACATCAGGCTAAAGTGCGTATAATCCAGTAGAACGCAGTATAGCTTCTTTATCTATAAAGCTTGCTAGTATCACTCTACTTGTGGAGAAGTTTGGATCACACTTAGATAGTCAAGGAAATGTAGTAGACAAAGAATTAGTAAGACAGAATTTCAAATACTCAGGAAAAAAATTATATGATATATGGCAAAAAGATGACATTCATAAAAAGCCTGTAAAAGTAGAATATGTCGACAAAGATAAGTGTCTATTCAATAAGCTCAAGCCTTTAATATTATAAGGTAAATTGAGAATTATATGCAGATTTGTTGCTATTCATTAAATATAAGAAAATGCAAAAATCGTGAATGTTGTAATGAATACAGAGCTCTGGATGTGACCATTCTTTTGAATGAGAATAATGGATTTCTCCTTCTAACTACGAAAGAAAAGGATGGTCATTTTATCAACCTAATTCACGTTCTTCAATATCATGATAAACTCAAAATTCTAAAGTATAATAGTAGTTGTCTTTCAATTTTGTGAGAACTTTACTAATGTTTGTATTGTAACATATGTGAAAACTACTTTCCAACCCTTAAGTTCATAAATAAATATAAGTGAAATGTGCATTTTGAATATTGCAAAAAGAAGAGAATCTAGAAATAAGCTAGCAAGACAGAAATAGATTATGTATTTATTCTGTTAAACCTAAATTTTAATGTTGCTGAAGATATAAATCCAAAAAAAAATTTATGGCGAGAGATTAGATAGATTTCTCGTGAAGTTCAATTAGATGTAGATTAATTTCTATTTGAGAAATTGTGGCTTATATGTAATTTTATGATGATCATGATGACATCATTAAATTTGTTGATTACATACTAATAAATCAATTTTCACTGCTTAAATAAAACTCATTGATCAACCATATGAAAGTTTAAATGTGCAATGACATAATACTTGAATAAAAACTTTAATATCCATTTCATCATTTAAAAAGCTTAAAAAGATTTTAGAATGAAGTGATAGAATATAATATTACTAATAAATTAGACTCCATAATAATTATATGATATGATAAGTAAGATAAAAAACTAACTAATTATTTCATATTAAATATATCACATGATCATAACACCTGATATATAAAACTGACTCTCTATCTACCTTTTAAATCAGCTAATTTCTGGCCCTTTCCTAATTTTAAAAAATTCAAGATCACTTACAATACTATGAATAAATATAAATTAGATTTGTATATATTTTTTTAATATAAATAAAGAATAAAAATTAACTTACCACTTTGCATTAAATGAAATAAATATAATTAAAATTTCAAATGTAAAAATATATACTGGATTTTTAAAAATTATTACTAATTCTTAAATAGTTCTATTTTCTCATTAATAATTTTTTTTTAATATAGGATTTATATAATTGTAGTATATGTTGATTAATTCATAAAATAAACTTAAACTATAAGTTCTAATGGGTTTTTACAGGTAAAAGTGGTAATGTAATTAAATTTTGATTAAAAGAAGTTGTGATAGAAGAAATAAAGGAATTTAAAAAAACAATCTATCTTCTTTTATAAGCAAGACAATGAATGAAGAATTTTTATATTTGCTACAATTTTAATTAAAAATTTGAAACTCTTATAACTAATCCATGTTTCTTCAACTAAGTTTAAAATATAAGCTAAACAATAGTTATGCTTTAATTGAAGAATTAATAGAAATAATATTTGAAAGGCTTTTATCATATATGCTGCATTATAAAAATAAAAAAATAAGATTATCATGAGAAATATTATAAAATTGTAAGGTTTTTATAACTAATTAAGCAATAATAGTACTATTAACAGTATCATCTAAAAATTTTATTTTAACTAATTTAATAAACATTATATTGATAGCTGCTTAATTACAAACATCTGTTGTTTCATCAATAATAATAGATATATACCTTTATATACTATTTCTTACATGTTAAAAACCTTCATATTAAAGACAATAGCTTGTAATAAAGAAGAGCTTGCAATAGCTCCATCTATAATATAATTAGTGATTTAATAATATGTTAAATGATAAATTAAAAATAAAATAAATTTTACATACTATTTTTACAAAATTCTAAAAAAGGTTCTTAAGTTTTCTACTTTTTCAAGTGATATATATGCTTATATAAATGCTTTTACTAAAGCAATATTAAAGACTTCACGTTCATTTAACTCATTATTATTAATATTGAGAGTTGTTTGATAAGCTTTTATTTTATTTTCAGCTTTACATATATTTTTTTTATATTTGTCTGATTTTAAATGTGTATCTAAGGTCAGATAAAGTTAGTTTTTAGATTCTCATGATCCAGCTGTATCAGTTTTATGAAAATTCAGGATTTAAAATTTTTTATCATGTGATCTTACATAATAAATTTTATTATAATTAATTTAAAAATGTGAATTTGTTACCTTTTTGTTACTTGAAATTTAACATTAAAACTATTGTATGACATTCATTGCAATAATAGTAATATTAAAATGGTTAACATATTAACCGGTTAAAAATTTTTTTTAATCAGTTAAAATAGAATTTAACTCTGGCCGAAATTCAATTTTTGGCCAGAATTAAGATATTTATGATTGCAAAATATAGTTTAACTACGGCCAAATTTATAGTACAAGCCTAAGTTAATTTTAATCAGTTAATATATTTTTTTTATCGAACTTTATAATTTTGAAAGTATGATTATAGTTAAGGTCAAGTAAACAACAATCATACAAAAAAATTAAATGATAATATTAATTAACCGATTAGCAAATATTTTAACTGGTTATTAACCAGCTAAAGAATTTTTAGCCAGTTTCAACCTCTACATCACTTTCATCTTCAGTACTTTTCACATTGAAAGCAAATATCTTCAAATAAATTAATTGAATAATAAAAATCTTCCATTTGTTAATTTATCATCAACGTTTACATTTTTAAAAATTCTTTCTACATCATCACTTTTACTATTCTCATCATTAACATCTTCCATTTCTGTGATTAAGTTTGTTTCAAAAGAATCACCGCATATAATATACAATAATACATATAAAAAATTCACATATAAAAAAAAAAAGCCAGGTAACTTGTCAATTTTAAAATTTTATGTCACGAGAATCTAAAAATATTCTTTGCCTGACCTAATGTGGATTTTTTTTATGGTCTAAAACATTATGGCAAAATTCACAAAACAATTTTTACCTATCAACATAAAAATTCTTTTATATTCTGAGTTTTCAAGTCTACGTTCAGTTGCCAAAACCATTGTAAAAAATATATGGTAAAAAAATGACATCATAATCTTAATCTTCTTAACCTAAGATCTTAACTGTGAATATGCTATATGATATGCGAAAAATGTGAACTTAATTAAATCTGCAGAAAATGGGTCCACCCTAGTCTATTGTATAACGGCAATGTGATTTGATTTTTATCAAATAAAACTGATTCGAATCAAAAAGTTAATGATTTATATATATAATGATTATTTTTTCATAAAAGAACGATAGTTTTCTTCTTGCTCTTCTAATAGTCTAATAGTCTTCCATTATGACTGAAATAGCAAATCAATTACTAAGTTGCATCATTCCAGATTATGCATAGATTCTTCTACGTCAGCGAGCTTCAAGCATACCAGCTTATCTTATCTTTCCAGAAGTTGTGAGATAATAGCGCTTTTTCTTTAGAAGTATCAATAGACACATTATTAATGCTAATAATATTTCAGGAGGACAATTTCCTATATTTCTAACTGAAACAATACATCTCAGTATAGAAGGCGATGCAAAAACCCGTTTATATACTAATGGTTTAATGCCTCTCAATGCATTATTAGGGATACAAGGAGCAGTATTTCTTTTGACATGTGCTAGATTGTTAGGCATTTCTGACTTCATTTTATGCACTAATAATTCTACAATAGCCAAGATATCTGTAGAAATGAAAACGTATTATAATCTGAATTTAGGGGATCATGACCTGTATAAAATTTATCGACATTCTGACCGGGCTCTAATAATGGAAACAGATCCAAATTTTAGGTTTAAAAAAGGACCTTATCACAGGTGTTTAGTGAAATAGCCTGCAATGGCTTTCATTACGGCATTTTGTCAAATTATACTGATACATACTTTCTCTAATGACTAGAAACAGAACTAAAAACCTATATGTTTCTCATGTTGTTCATTCTAATAGTGCTAATCTGACTTTACGCGAATGCTTTCAATATATCAGCCACTTTGTTATTAATGATCAAGTTAGTAGAAGATTGAGTTGTGTATTAGAAGACCTTAATTCATCTAATGACGATAGCTATGATGATGACGATGCTGATGATTCTAATAACAGCTCTAACGATGATTATGTTATTTCTGACAATGATGATTCTGACAATGATGATTCTTCTAACAATAATTATAGTTCAAAGAAGAGGATGAGTTCCTCTAAGCAGATCAGTAGCAGGAAGAGAGTGATCGCATCGATCATATCATCTTCCAAAGAAATAATTACAATAGGAGAATACATAGGTGACAGAACCTTTGGAAAGGTTTTTTCTAGATATTATAATAATCAAGCTGTAGCATGAAAGACTTGTGACATGTATAAGAAGAAAGAAGTGATAAAAATGTTAAAACATAAAACTCATGTTTATTTTATTTTAATAGAATGTCAAGATACGATTTTTTTTTCATTCATTATATTTTTAGTTATTATTAACTTATCTATTGCAAATTGATATTAGGTCATGCTATTTCATGTTTAAATTATAAGGGTTACATTTATGGTGGATTTCTTTTTGCATTAGCGTTACAATTAATTGAGAGCACCCATCACATTGATCTGAAAAGACTCACTAAAGAGAAAAAAAAATTAATAATCAATCAGCTCAAGTCAATACATAATTGTGACGTTCTACACAATGATATCTCAGAGCAAAATATTCTATATGAACCAAAAAGTTACCATTACTTTTTTATTGATTTTGGCTTGAGCGAGATCGTGAGTAGTGAGTCGCTGAAATTGTGATTGAAAGTAAGAAGATTAAAAAGATTTTTACAATTTTAAATATCTGAACGTATAGAATTATACCACATTATCGCAATAGATGAATTTTTATTATTGCAAGCTAAATTTTATATATAACTTTCATTTTAAATCATAAAATGTAATAAATCATAAAATAAATCATATATTTTGCATATTATAGCATCAGTTTTTATATATAGAAAAAGAATCTAATATTAAAATTATTGCTTTAATCTGCATATTTTGTCTAAATATTTTTAATTTATCAAATTGTTTCTTTTTATTTATTTAACCTTTTAGATTAATATAAAAATATAACTATATTAGAAAATTCTTCTTGTAAAATATTTAAATAATAATTAGTTGTAATTTTATTTTATCTACCATAATTTATCATATGAGATAAAATAATAGTAAAATTTAATTATTCATATCTAGTTGATAATATTAAAATAATATTAATACTATATTTTTAACTGTTTGTATTATCGATAGTAACTTCACAGGTTATTAGAGATTACTACACATGGTAAGCAATGCATTGATTGGATATTTTGCCACGAAGTGGCAAAATCTACCAATCTAGTAACTGTGAAGTTATTGGTGATTACCTGTGAAGTTATGATATAATTATTCGGCCCACTGAATATTATAAAATAATATTTTAAAAATTCTTTTTTCTTTCTCATTTTATATTATTTAATCTCAATACAACTGCATTTTTTTTATTATGTCAAAATCTAAATAAAAACCTTTTAAAAACTTTTTTTTATAATAAAAATTATTTTATTATTTAGCCAATTTTAAATATAATGATCCTAGAGATAATGATATATAAGCAATTATTAATTATATTTCAATTGATAAATCAAATAAGAATTGGATTATGATATCATGTAAATTTAAATGGAAAAATTGAAAATGAAATTGATCTTTAATGCATATAATCAAGGTTCTTTATTTATTTATTTTATCGTTACATATTTTTTTATAAAGAAACTAACATTCATATATTTAGAATTGCAAAACTTTTCTGCACAAAAGAATTTAATTGAGAGTCAATTAATGACAACTGATCTCTCACTTCCAACGTATTTTTAAAGAAAATATATTTAATAATTGTTCTTTTATATTTAATATTAATAGTAAATAGAATTTAATTAAGTATATATAATAATTAATAAATAATTAACATATTAAACTTTTTTTAATGTATTTTAATATAAGTAATAACTTATATTGTAATATTATGGTCAAAGTATAAACAAATTCTGTCTATGAAAAATTATTTTACGGATAAAGTATAATAATCATATGAAAGGGTTTCTAGGAAAATCAGGTTTTGAGAAATTTTTGACTTAAATTAAGAGTTTAATACATTTTAATCTAATAACATCATAAACTAAAATGCAATAAAAATCTCAATTTTGTTAAAAAATTTCCAGAATCTGATTTTCCTAGTAATCAACCCATATACGACCATGTAATTATTTGATAAATTAAATACATTAAAGTTTTATCTATATTTATAATTAAAAATAATAGATATTATACTTTTTTCTACAAAATAAGACATAAAATAAAATTTATTTTATTATAAAGTCATTAATTCATTTTTATGAAAATTTTGCATTTATTATATTTAGATATTCTTTTGTTATTTAGCTAATAAACATGTTTTTATCTGAATCATAATAAGAAATCATTTTTAATTAGCTTTAAAACTTTACTTCTTATATTTTAAAAACTTAATATAATATATATCTAAAATATCCTAACTTGAAAGTAAACTTATGAATTAGTTTAAAGCTTTTAAAAGTTTTTCTTTATTTTTTATTCATTCACAAAGTTATTTTTATTTAATATTAAATTTATTTGCAGTTGATAATTTACTATAACTTTTTTTAAAATATGTAATTACCATTAATTTTTTTTATGCTAACCATTATTATCTTTTTTTTATTGTAATATTAAATATGTTTAAAAATTATTATAAACTATATTTCTAAAAATAAAAATAAAATATTAATAATATTTTTTTAAATATAATTTTTATAAAAATATTTAATACTTTAATAAAATGTAAAAAGTAAATATTATATTTAAATGATTTTTTTCAAATTATATTTATTTTTTTAAATAGATAAAATTTGAAAGAGCTTTAATAATTACTAAAATAATAAATAATAAATATAAATTTTCTTTTTAAATTAAAAAGTTATATTACAATTATTTTAAAATATAAATATTATAAGTATTAATATTTTATAATTCCTTTCAATAATAGCAAGTAAATTTACCTGCAATTTATTTAATAAATAAAATTATTTTTAAATATTTTAAAATAATTTATTAAAAATTAATACTTTTATAATAAATTTTATAATATTTTTTTAAAAAAAATAATTAACTAGTGATTTTTTAAAGATAAGTTATTATTAAAAAAATTAAAATTTTAAATTTATATATCTTACTATTTATTAATCATATAAATATAAAAATACTACTATTTAATAGATCTTAATGTAAAATTTAATAAATTAAATTTTATATTTTGTAATTATTTTTTTTTTTTTTTTTATAGACGTGGTAATGCAATATTTTATTATATAAAACAATTTCAGTAAAAATTTACATGAAAATCCCAAAAGGGTACAAAAGTAGAAAAATAAAAATTGCTGCTTAATTTTCATAACTAAAAACTAGCTCCCATCAGACCAACCGGTTGTCCTGTCTAATTCTGATTATAAAGATTTACTGAACAATCATCAATACCAAACTGAGAAAGGAACCATTAGAGCAACTGGTTATCACTAATCCAAAAAGAGGGACCAATGTCGATCATGTTTGTAAGATTTCTTGATTAATGTAAAGTAATCTAAAATGTCTGTATTAGTAGCAAATGTAGTATTTGAGAAACTATTGATAAAAAAATTGATGTTAGATGAGGCAAAATTGCCTTTCTTTTGTCATTTTGTTATTTGTAAGGATCTTTCTTTGTCCAAAGTTAAAGTGCATCGAGTCTTCCATATGTTGTCATAAGCCTGATTAAAGACAAAATCAAAAAAAAGAAGAAAGAATTGAAAGGTGAGGGAAGACGATTTGGTGAATGTTATTAAGGTTGATGATAAAATATTAGGAACAATGCCTTTAATAAGATCTATAAAGGAGAAATCATGTAGAGATGCTTGTAAAGACCATATTGCATGGGAAGGATTTAAAAGATTATCAATTTCATTTGTGTATTCAGTTTTTGAAGTGTAGATGAATAATTATAGTTTTAGATGAGCGATGGATTCAGCGATTAAGGAGTGAGTGTATTGTCTAATATTAGGGTATAGTCATATATGATTAAAGTCTTCATTATAATTATTACAACGGCAACATTTCCAAGATGGTGAATACAGTTGTGGTTGAGTGGCTTTTATAAACTGGATCGTTGGTAATTGATTAAGAAGAAATTTAAGTTTTCTGCAATGTCTTCTTGTTTCATTGAAAGAGGTAGAAAACGCTGTTCCATTCTGAATAATTTGAAAGGTCAAAATCCAATTAACTTGTAAGTGTTGATATTTAGTATTTCTTTTTAGATAGTAGTAATCAGAGAAATGTTTGGTGTTAGTGTAATCTTTTAAAAAGAGCGTAAGGGATGATATATAGGCATATTATTAAATACAGGTATATAATTAATGAAGGAAATATGGTCTAATAATAAGTTTAGAGGAGGAGAAAATAGGAATGATTTTGCTAATTTATCAGCTTTATTATAATATGGATTATTGGAGTGGGCAGCTACTTTAAAAATGAAAATATTAATTTGTCATTCCTCAATAATTTTAAAAATAATTGACCAAAAAATGTAAAAAGGGATTTTAAAAAGGAGTGATAGATATCTAATTGCATTAGTTCTCTTTATGTAATTATATGTATGAATAAGAGCTAAACTGTCTATGTGTATAGAAATTAAAGAAGCTGAAGGACTAATTAATAGAATCAAAATGAGAGCAAAAATTTCAGCATTAGTAGAATTAGCCCAAACAGCGGGGATAGCTGTTGAGAATTCTATGTTTAGATTTTCATATATCAAACAAAATGCTGAGCTTAAATATGATGCCGGTGATAAGGGAACAAATTTGTGGGATCCATCCGTATAGAAGGTGAGTGATCTTTCATTTTGTAAAATATGGTGAAATTCTAGTAAAGATGATCTGATTCTATCATTTGAAATTATATTAGGAATGCTAACAAATGGTAGAGCATTGATGATAAGGTCGTTCAAAATAATGGTTGGAGGGTGGATTGTCAAATAGTGTTATTTTGCTTGATCCATAATGGACCAGACATTGCGTTTGAGAAGATATAATTTTTTGTCATTAACAGAAGTAAAATATGTAATGTCTTTAATTTGAGAAAGGTCATCATCAATAATGTTACCACAAGGCCAAGCAGTAACTGCTGCATTAAAGTTTAGAATAGGTTCTGGTGAATTGAAAGAATACCCTGAATAGGGAGTGAACATGTTCTGTTTCTTTGACACTGATCTAGGATCATAGTTAAGTACTATGTTATTAACGTAATATTGGATGGCAATCTTGTTAGGAACAAAATGTGATCTTATAGCTTTTCCAATAATGCCTTGATCAGGATATGGCAAATTATAATAATTATGATCTGGTGGTGTCCAGAGGGCTATCCATGGCGACTTTTTCTCACTATTAGCAATAGAAGTAGTGATGTATCCTTGGGGAGTAAACTCGTCGAGACAAAATTCAAGTTTTAAATGGTTTGAATGTACAGGATTCAGAAGGACACATTTTTGTAAATTGAGGAACCATCCAGGAATAGCTTCTTTATTTGGAGTACTAGCTTTAAGGAAAAGATCGTAATATTTCATTAAAAGATTTCCTTTAGTGACAAATTGATTAAGAAACAACACTCTGCATCTTTTTAGCGATGGGATCCATTTTTTTTTCCATGGAATGAGAGAGTTAAGTGTAGTTGAACCTCCTTAGATGTGAAAGTCTGAAGCAGAAGAAACTGTCCTTTGCATTGAAAAGGGTGTCTGGAGATATAGTGTAAGCATATTACATAGATAATTATCATGTCTTAAATTTTTTAGCTGAGAATGCCAACTTGTTATAGGATCATCAGATAACCAAAAAAAGTTCTGAAGTTGTTTTAGACGAATTTTAGTTGTTAAGGCGAGTGGTAATCTTAAAGAATTACCATTGATAATTAGATTAAAGTATTGTAATTTAGAATGTAACATATTGGAGGCCAAATCATTAAATCCAAAAGATAATTTGTAAAGAATTATACTGTTGGGAGTGCATTTGTTGAATTTGAGTTTATGCTTTATGAATGTATGGATACGTGAGAAAAGAGCAAAGCATTCTTTTTATGAAAAAACAATTAGTTGAAATCAGTATTCAAGTTGAGGAATAAGTACTTGATTGCAGAGATATTTGAGTTGTTTATCTGTCATAGGCTTAGTTTTAAGTTTTAAAATAAAATCAGTAATTTCGTTTTCTAATTATTGTTTGACAAATTTTTTGTTGTAAAGGGCTGAAATCCAGACTCCTAAATATCTAGTAAATTCATTTGGTTTTTTTGTCAATATTGTTATAGGACCATTCAGATGCTTACTGTGGAATGAGATGTCATTGATTGTTGCTTCAGATGTTACAATGAAGGATTTCTCTATATTAACTTGCATTGAATTCAGATTGAAGAAGGATTGAGCAATATCAAAAATTTCTTGAAGTTTCACGTAGCTGTCAGTGATCCAGATAGTATTATTCATATATGCTGAATTAGGAATTGAGGTTGAGATCAATTTCGTTTCTATCTTATTAATGTTTGGTGATCATGAAACGTCTAATGTATAACCCAAATTGGACTGTTGCATACGAGAGAGAAGAGGATCATAGTATATTACCCATAAAAGCGGGAAGATAACCTCTCCTTGATCAATTTCGACAAGGATATCGTAAAATTCTGTGTTGCCATATGTAGTAAAAACACTATTTTTTCTATTAAGAAATAAGTTGAAAATTAGTGTGATAAAAAAAGCTGGAATTTTTAATCTGTGTAATGCCTTTTTTAATATAAAGATGTTGACTCGATCATATGCTTTGGACATATCCTGAAAAAGTATATAAAAGTCAGATTTTTGGTATTCAGGCATTTTTCTTTTGAGCTGGTGGAATTCCAGAATATTGTTAACAATATGCAGTAGTTCTAATGTTGATTGATGAGGTAAGCCAGCAAAGTTGAGTCCTTTAATGATTCTGTATTCAATGAATATAGTTTGTAGCCGCTGATTCATCAATTTTACGAATGCTTTTCGAACTGTTTCAAGTAACATAATAGGTCTAGTGTTGTTGAGTTGGCAATTCCATGGTTTAGGTTTTGGTATGGGATATATATAAGCTAAATTTCACTGTGATAGAGTAAACTTGTTAATTAAACATGCGCAAATAATATTATATAAAAAATTTTTGCATCTTGGACCCAACTTTTTAAAAGTTCATTAGTGATCTTTAATGGACCTGAAGCTTTGTAATCAGGTAAATGTTTGATCAAATTGTTCCATTCATCAATGGAAGGTAAGTCCATGAGTGAATCATAAGCATCATCTGGAATTTCTTCAATGGGTTCATAATAATTCTTCCACTTGGACCAATCTGAAGAAAATTCATTAGTATTTGGATCAATGACATTCTTGTTTGTAAAACCGGCTATAGTTTGAAAATGTTTGGCAGTATGAAATTTAATGGTATCAGAATCAAGAGCCAAATGTTGGTCAGGTATATTATA